CTTTACTTTTATGTATTAACATATACTTTTTCCTCCGTCGTTAATGACATTTTTTTTATTTGAAACGTAATTGTTCATACTATACTTTACCTTGGTATTGATGATATTCCTGGTAAATGGAAAGCAGCCATAAATACAAGATTAAAAGACAACTCAGGAAATCAACCTTTATCTAGTCATCTCAGTTTCCAACAACATTTCTCAGACGAGCTGAATTTGCCACTATACAGACTTGAAAAACGGCCCTACATACAAATACCTCATAGCGGTTATGAACAAAATTCGGTCATCCGGACAGACTTGACACTGTGTGGCATGATCCCTCAATACCGGTGTTGAGGGACTGTGGCGTGATCTACTGGCCTTGCCTTCAGATATTAAACCCAATTTCAAAGGGTGTTATACTGCCCCCATCACAAAACCTGGGGGAGATTTGCAATGGCGTGTAATACACTACTGCTGTTTTTTTTTGCCAGGGTAAATTTTGCCGATTCTGAAAACTGTCCACTTTGTGGTGACCTGGATTCTCTCATTCATATTTTTATTGAATGTCCGGCGATTAACGCCCTCATTTCTAGCATTTCTACTGACTGTATTTTTACAAATTGGTTTGACGGTTCCTCTTTGGTGGTTCGTTATTTTGCCACCTACTCACTACTCACGTTGTTTTCTCTCTCGTCAGTGTGGGAGTATTTTTCTTTTTATCCATTATCACTGCAAAAGTTGCTATCCATAACTCCCGGCGGAATAAACGGGAGGGGAGTTCTTTTGTGGATTCGTTGGAAATTCTCAAAACTATCACCAGCAGAATTAAATCTGAAGATCAGTACTTCAAACTTGTGAAACAGAAGGTCAGGTTCGAATACATTTGGACAACAAATGACACTCTCTGTTCCTTGGAAAATGGAAAATTACAAATCCATTTCTGAACTTGACTTCAAACTGTTAATGGTTCAGAGGTCGTTTTACACTTCTGTTATTCAACTTGTCATTTGGTTCAATCTTGTTGTTTCATGTCTGTGCCTATTTCAATACATCTCACCCAACGCCGTTGCTTGTTTGTTTGTTATTACACTACACGTTATGTGTTTGTATATGTTTTTTTATTTGCCTTAGAATTTGGCAGGGAGGGGTCGTAACCTCTTGCAGTGAGAACCAATGTGACTGGCCTGCCAACGGGGTTCTAAGGGTTGTTTTTCTGAGTTAAATGTGAATCCCGTGAATCATAAATCACTAATACTTAATCTTATTTATGTTCAACAGGTCAATCAGCGTACGATCTTCATCAAAATGACAAGACAGTAAAAGCTAATAATAACAAGTATTTGTCGGTAAGTGTTAACTCTTTAAACAAATAACAATCATATAGGATAGTTTCTCCATACAATTATTGATATTAATGCTATGTGCTCGCCTCCGCCTCGGATAGCGTATGTAAGCTTGCCTGCTTTGCACATGATACAGTAAAGAGAAGATTGCTGTGTCTCTGTATTAGATACCATTATCTCAATACCCATGCAAGCTGTCCATTTGATGCAACAGCCAATACATAGATACATCGTACAAACAAGCAAACAACTAATCAATTATTTACTCGTTTTATTCTAATATTATTGTCTCTAGGAGCAATGTTTGAACAAAGCCACTGATCTTATTAGCGAACACGATACGGCGAACCCATTATTTATGTACTATGCGTTTCAGTTAACGGGTTCTCCTTTACAGGTAAGACGTATGATATTCATACCAATAACCTACGCAGAACGAGCAAATTATCACGTAATACCTGCGCATTGTAGGTGAGGTCATACAACGATACGATATATTTTCAGCCGCACCACTACGCACACATTACCTACGCGGGAAGTGCCGATAATGTGATAATGGGCCCTCTTTTTCGTTCAAGATAGGTAAACAATCAGTAATAGTTATGAATATGGAATTTATCCTCTGCCGACTTTCAACGGGTAAATCATGTATTATACATGTTACAGGTCCTAGTCTAGCACCTACATTGATAGATCACAATATTAAATTCTATCGTTTTATACAGTCTTGTATACTCAAATGTATCTATGTATATATTGACAATTCACAGTAATATGCCATAACCACTTTATGCATGGTGTTTCAAATACGGGACACCAAATTGTATTGGATATAAATCCTAGAATAAACGTGAGTTATAGAAGTCATGCTTTTATATCAATATTGGTATAAACTTTGTGGTTTAAATACCTGGGTATAAATACTGCCCCTTTTGTGTTAGGGCTTAGTAGAGTTAAATTCCCTGGCTCAGTGTATATTATATACGTACTATGAACAAAATTACTGACTTGTTCAAATAGTATGCTACGTTCACTTCTATAGGCACCTCAAGAGAAATTGGACAAATACAATGACGAGAATCCAGAGAGACGCGCATTCAAGGGTAAGGAATATGTACGCACGTGCGTAATTGTTGTCACGTGATAGCTACCATATTGTATTATAACATACACAGATATTTTCAGTTACGGGAGGTTACGTCATGATGATATATAAGTGAAAGATCATTTCAGCAAAATCGTGATTATTAAACTTCAAATCGCGTGAACTTGAAGGTCGATGCATAATATTCGATATATCATGTACCACTTAACGTGTAATAAACAGCAACCAAGTTTAAAGGGCCGCAGTCGTCGTGCCGCGTCCATTTCGATATGGACTCATAGCGACGTATACAACGCGTGTAAAATACATTGTTTCCATGAAATTCGAACACGCGCTGTGCGACGACCACCGCGCTTTAAGTACAAATCATAGCGTTTAGTTGTGTAACTGACGTTATAGACACGTGTCAAGCGATAAGTTTCTCTTGATTTACAGCAATGGCTTCCGTGATGGACGATGCTATACAAAGCGTAGTCGATGCTCTTCAGGAAAAGGGAATGTTGGATAATACGTATATCGTTTTTCTCAGTGATGTGAGTATCGACCATCATGACTCTTGGCAATTTTACGAATAACTTGGTTCAAATGAGCGCAACGGCACTGGGTTGTAGCGATAGTAGCAGTATCTCGTCATGGGAAACATTGATGAATTTGTGATCGATCGACATCTGTTCAGTTGTCTAGGTGTCGTGAACAATGTACCCCACCCTTTTTTTGATATCACAAACGTCATATTGATTTTGAGCTAGTATCAACAAATTATGAAAACATCGAGTGGATACATTGACAACGATTTATCGTTAACCAAAAACGTTTCTTTTTTCTTGCAATACACGCAATTTAGTATTCGTCCTATGAAATAATGAAAACACGTTAAAACGCATGCGCACTGATTGTTCGGCTACGTCAAATAAGAATATGAGTACACATGTCTATTATTGGTTTTCATTCATCATCGAACGAATATTATTGTGTGTGATAAAAAAAAAAACGACTCTTTCAATTTAAGATGAACCGTGTTCCAAATGTCAATATTTGTTTTGGTGTTACTATATTATTTATTTATTTTATAAAATGTTATATTTCACAGAATGGTGGCGAAGTAACTCAGGGGGGAAACAACTGGCAACTGCGAGGTAACAAAGGAACACTCTACGAAGGAGCCATGCGTACACCAGCTTTCGTCTGGGCTAAGCCTGGAACTGACTTGATGGCCACTGGCGGAGAGGTGGCTGATGGGTGAGATTATTAGGAACAACCATAACGAAGAAACTAAAGTACATTCAGTCATAATACAAAAATACAACAATGAACTTTATAGCATTTATATGTTGGCACGCATCGAGTGTTAATAACAACAGCACAGGCGTTCATAATTATGACGCGTGCTTCCTCGTTGTAAATAACAGCATATTGAAACATAACGCTCATGAGTGCACCACAAATGTAGGAGAATGCAATTTACATGTGTTTATATCACTTTTCATTCTCTAGATATTAAACTTTGCATTAGTATATGTAGTTAACCAACTTGATTCTCCCGCAAAGGATCATTGATAAAGTATGACATCATCGGTAGCATCTGTTGTGAACAATTGAGGAAATGAGTTTCATCTATAACTTCCATAAAATTGGTTGAAAGCATAGAACATGGTATCATTATAGTATAATTCTATAGACGAGTAATACGCACACTGAAAATTCTAACTAATTCGCATCAATATTTCTCAAGTTATGGGTTATTTCTCAACTGTTTGCAGCCTTCTAGTGTGTTGTGATGTCATATTTTACCCATGATTCCTTGCTGGAAAATCAAAAATGGTGGAATTGAAACGATTTAGTTGCTATAGATATATAATATAAATTGTTTTGGGCCATTGCCGTAATGGATATAGAAAAATGCGAGTAAGTTACACCAACACTAGCCAGTGAAGTTAGACTAAGCTTGTTCAAATGTCGCAAACCATGTTTTAATTGTGTCTTCCATTTCAGCTTCATGCACGCCGTTGATTGGTTCCCCACAATCCTTAGTATCGCAGGAGGTATTAATGACGGTAAATTGATATTTCCTAGTATACATTCATTAAATGTATTTGTATCTTTACAACGCGGATGCTGGCGTCTAGTTCTTTGTATAACGGTATAGTAAAACTTGAGTACCATGTTTTGGAGCCATATCTTTTCCACAAACTTTATTAATTTATCACTAACTGTTCTCATTTCAGATGTAAACATGGATGGTAAGGACCAGTCGGTAATGCTGTTAAACGATGTGTCTGTACATCTCCGTACTGAGTTCCTGTATGCGTTGGACGAAAGCATGGACGCGGCAAACAAGAGAGCTTATAGGTAAACTATGGAATTGTTACATATACTATTTAGAGTCTATTGTTACAACACACTGCGTCCCGATTAAGTGATATAAATGTAAGTTGTCAACCTGTGGCCACACGAAATTACGTAACACCGACGTTTTAAATCACCACAGTAGTATCTTTGCGACGTTTACGCAAAAAGCAACCATAGCCTACCCTGTGCATGTTCCCCTAATTTGTTGTTTATTCTAGGTTTGGAGATTTCAAACTTATCGAGGGTGAGCCATCATATATGTATCCAGTGAGAATCAATGACGACACCGGTATGTACACTACACTGCACTACACTACACTGCACTGCACTGCACTACACTGCACTACACTGCACTGCACTGCACTGCACTACACTACACTACACTACACTACACTGCACTGCACTACACTACGGCAGAGGTCAGTGGTCGTTGAGAGATCAAAGTTCAATCTCAACCTTTTGACTTTTTAGTCTATTTCGGTATAGAAACGATCAGATCGTGTATGGGGCCTTATTACTGCTTTTCAAGGATTGAACAGCAAACTCAGACAAAATATTGATAAAATAGAAAGTATGTATTTAAAAAGATGAATATATTTATTATGGAAATTCCTGAATTATTAATAAAACATTTGCCCTGGAATGCTCTTGAGTTTCATTCAAATTCAAAGAAAACGCTTTCATTGTCTATAAAAACTGTTTGGTCACCCGTGAGTCTTTGCGAGTTTTCTTCAATCTTCCGCTGGATCGGTCAAATAGAAATTGGCTACGAAAAAAAAAACAAAAAAACTGTTTTTTCATTGTTCTTTGACATGCGTTGGCAATTTATTTATTTTTATTTCATTCAATTGTGTTATTTTAAATTTTCATGCAAAAACAGAAATTCACTTGACAAAAAAATAAAAATATATTTTTTTTTTTGAAAGTGCGTTAAACAATCTACTCATAATTACCAAGTCAACATTTGTTCTTATTACCAAAGACTTTTTTCTCTTCTTTATTTCAGATGACGTTTTTGTTCTGCCTTACGGTGCTGTCAGTCCAGTCATCACCAACTATAGTCCAATCATTCCCGTGCCTGGAGAACCAGTACCACAGCCAGCCCCAGCTCCATCAGTGCCCCAGACACTATTGTATAATGTGAAAAGTAAGCCTTAGTTCTTTCCTTTTAGTACTGTCTTTATATATTTGTTTTCGTAAAGGGCAAATAGCTATTAATTAACCTTTCAATATAGTTCAAATTATGTATTTTGGTTCAGTGTTTTATGTAGAATATAAAAAATTCCAAAAAATTCAGAACACATGTTGCCTGCCTTTAATAGTTTTATGATGCAACTGAATTGCGTCTATTCCGTAACGACAACTTTGCACTCATCCATTCGTTGCCCTTGCGCTTGCATGAGAGTAACAGGTGATATTATTCTAATATCTGTATTTTGTTATATTTAAATTCCACAAATAGAAATGAATTAGATTTACATTCATGGTAGAAGTACGGTTTAAGTTTGTTTAAAACTGAAAGCATATCATATACGCTATATACTGACGTTGCAGGTGAAAACAAATGATGACCGCGGGGTTCAAAGTTACGCTCAGGTCTCTAGAGGGCGCCATCTATTGAAAGCCATTTTGCCATGTGAATCTCAGAGATTACGTACAAGATGAGCTGTTTGCGTCGTCATCATGAGCCAAGCCTCTCCCAGATGGCCTTTCACTGATGGTTTTATTTGTCATTTGCTATAATAGTGTGCGCCGTGTGTCATAATTGTGTACGGTCTCTATCACGTGATCAATTACAAAGAAATTGCGACAACTCGTGCTTTAGTTTTCACACTGCATTTTATGTAACATTAACCTTTTCTAGGGTCGCTTTGCTCATGTAATTGTGTTTGAAACAATATTTTGGTAAGATTTGGTCACCTTTATGTGGTTATATTCACGCAAAAGTCACAGCTACTCTAGCAGTCTGTATAACAATTCGCTCGAACCAACTTGAACTTGTTCCGTGCTTATTCTGATATTTGAGTCACCCCACCCCTAGACAATTTGAAAACGAAGTCAAGGACGCTTGACAGTTGAATACAACTTTCCCGTAAAGTGACGAGCCAATTCCCGTAAAGTGACGAGCCGATTCTGTGACGTCAAAATGAAGTGTTTGGATGGGAACAATGTCGTTAAAATCGACAATTGTGCTTGGTTGAGTAGTTGTTCTCATATAGGATATAGTCAAATCTCACAAATACATAATCGAATAATTATCGACGAGTCCGCGAACTGCTTACTTAAACTTGCCAACCCCAAAACTTAGAAGGAACAATGCTTATATTTCTGCGAATGAATTGAACTCAAAATATTTTTCTCGTTTCAGATGACCCTACCGAACAAAACAACCTCGCTGGGAATTTCAGAGTGTACGTTCTCATTCTATCATCTAAAATCAATATGGAGCGTATTAAAGGGGTAGAAAGTCTGAAGTTGAATGAAACCGCATGGAACAAAGACGTGGCCCTCTATAACGAAATGATTGCTGGCGGTGTCTGGATGCCTGGTTGGTGCAGCGCAATCAGTCTGTAATAATTACCCAATTGAATTCATTTATATTTATTTAATGTACAATGACTTAGTAATTTGGGTCTCGGTAAAAACTTTAGTTAAAATTGTGAATAAATTATGTGGGTTTAACTTTTGTGAATAGTTGACAAAAGTTTACTTTGGCGCTGGAAGGGTTAATGTTTATATTGCCGCTGCAAACACATATAGATGATGTTCTAATCGTTTGATTCATCCTCAACATGACCGCCAGTCTGTTATTTGCTATAATACATCTTTCCTTGTTAGTCACGCCCTCTAGTGGCCATACGAAGCGCTTCTATGAAGTACTAGTAAATGGTTTGCACGAGACCGTTTAACGTGTCTATATTGTTTTGGTGTTTCTTGGATAACAACTAAAACGAGTTGTACATTTGACTGATACTGTTGTAACTTTGACGTCACAGGGCGCTTCGTTACACCATTCCTGGGTATTTGGCACGTTCGGATATCTTGATTGGAGTATTTTACACTGCTGCAAGGAATACCAAAATCTCCATTAGACCCTAGCCATATACACATGCATTAAGTATAAATGATATTTGGTGTGTGTATATGTTTGTATAGATATGTAACTGATTAAGCTTCAATGAAAACAAAAGTAGTATTTCCGTTATATTGTGGTTGTGGGTGGCGTCGCGTTATCAGGTTACCTGCGGACTAACACACCCTACGTCACGAGTGTACTGCACTAATTTCCTTCGCTCACACATTTGCACATTTTGGGATTTTATCATTAAAGGATGTTGTAAGCACTATTATTTTGGGTTATATTTCAACTATGATATTTAGATGTGTTTTTGAACTTGTATCGAATAATAAAATAATGATACAGAAACTGCATAATGTTTTTGAAGCTGTTATACTAGTTCTAAATGTATGAATTAGGGGTTAGTATGGGTGGTCATTATGGATGTTTTGTTACGACATCGGATACATGTGACATGAAGTACAATACCTGTCTTCTAGAAGTCGCCCACTGTCGCTTTGCTAGACGAGTGGGTAACAAACCAAACTGTTGTCGGTACCGGTATGCTTGCTCCTACATTGAAATTACTTGTCAAATAATTGGCGCCCTCCGGCGACGAAACCTTGCAACAAATAAAGTTGATGTCAAAAGCATGTTTTCTAGTGAGGTGAATCTGTTGTTTTGAGTTAAAGACCATCATCTTTATTCATTGTCGTTTGTTTACTGAGTGTTGTATTGAGCTGACTAAGAATGTATAAAACCACATTTGAACAATCTTGTAAACTAATCTCAATGGGCATTGATAATACTATATGTTATATGTTCAGCTTATTTCTTTTGTTCCAGTTCGACTATATTATCTAGTTTACCAAATTTGCAACGGTGTTTACTACCTCCGGTAAACTAGTTTGAATTACACTTCGTACACATATATAAATGCATTTAGTAGTCACTTTCAATTCAGTCTAAACTCTGGCAAATCTCTGCTAGAAAAGATTAAAAGTAGTTTTGTATACTTTTACAGAAATGCTGGGTCTAACGCAGATCGATTCACCATTTGTGATCACAGGCGTGTCTGGGTTTGCTCGGCAGTACGATGAGTATCAGTCTGAGGGGCCACGTACGCGGTGTCATGAGTTACCATATAACGGGAAATTACTTTAAAAAAACACATTTTCTATCACAGTTAAAATCCTCAGTTCAAAGTCAGACAGTGGTGGTGGTCATCGTGACGCATCATTTTCATGAGTTCCATACAACTTATACAGCGCTTCTTAAATGAAGTGTTCGTTTATGCAAAATTCAAAGGATACAAACTGAAAATGATAAGAGTACCAGTTCGATAGCATTATTTAAAGGGGCACCTTCCAGTTAAGCCTAATCTCACAACAAATTTACTTTCTGGATTAAAATAACAATGGGTAACAAAAGATAGATTAACATTGTAAACAACATAAACAATAGTGTCCCATGATTCTTTGGTGCAATCCATGGGATTGAGCGGTTCCCCTTTAAAGGTATCTCCTGAAATTCGGAAACTATGAATTACAGGGTGATGTAGTCGATGGGCAAGAGAATGTGTAAATCATGTCTGATATAATTGGCCCGAAACTCATCTGTCTTTGAACAGCTCGGTGTACAATAAGTTTGACGTGACCGCAGTGCATGCAGGTCGCTATAATAAGTGGCACAACAATAAAACAACTGTAAAATGTTAGTATTCATGTTGGGGAAAAAACATTATGCATACACAAAGTAAAATAGACATCCAAATTAAAGCTCGCAATATATTTACTTCAATCAACAGGTTGACAGTTACCGCACAAATAGTAAGGGACTGGACAAAAAGTAGATGATAGGTCGGTGTTTTTTTGTTTGTTTTTTAGGAGGGTCACTGATTTTCGTGGCAGTGTTGAAGAGAGGGTTACAGTAATCTGCAATGGAAGGTCGCAATTGTTTGTGCAATGCAAGCCTCATGACACCACAGT